AAAGACACGGCCACTATAAAGAATGGCTTCCATTTGACGACACGCCGTGAAAGATCGATCAAAGTTAAGCAGATGGAATTTTTCATCGATGCCTTCTGAATACGAAAACGTGATCCTAGCTGCGGGATCTTACCTCTTTTCAGTCAGCAACTCCGACAAAGCTTTGTTACACTCGTCGTATTTTCTTCGTCTGTCCGATGATTTTTCTTCGTTTTATAACGAGCCTCTTCTCTCCAGTGCCGCTTAGAAAGCGAGAAAAAAACACTCCTGGCGAAGGTTTTCTTTCGATTCACCGGGTCGTCTCGTCTTCGAATCGATTCGAACGCATTCCGGGCACGTTGCTTTCCCCCTAGGCGAAACACAATTGCACATCGAAGCGATTTTGCAACGTTCCTTTAAGCAGCAGGATAAATACCAGTCTGCGTACAAATTCGATTAAGAGAACGGATGCTACGGTAGGTGGTAGGAGATCTGACAAAAGCCCTTCCGAAGTCGGCGTACGTCTGCCCCCATTGTAATCCAAAGTCCTTGCGAGGGTAGCGACGAGGACGAGGGCTAGACGTCTCGCATTAACCCCGCGACAATGCGAGGAACGCGAATGGTTAGCGTAATTCGCCGGTGTCGAAATTCGTGGTTGCGCGTTCTCCAGACGTTTCAACCCTTCTTGCAAACCTCCCTCTGCAAGAAGCTTCGCAGCACAATCGCAACGATGCGGTTTCCCTTTCGATTTTCACCTCCCGGCGTCTCGTTTCTCTCACAGTAAACGTAATCGACGTTACCTCCCGCTCGTCGGCTAATCTTACACCGTAACGTGTCATCAGGTACTTTGGTTCCTGTTTCTGTGCTTCTTTGAATGTTTAGCCGCGTTCGTGCTGACGGAATCCGGCGACGACGCTGCTGACGCGCGTCTTACCGCGGTGGAAATTCATCAACGATTCAAAGCGTTCTTGTAATTCCCCTGGAAACAGTTTAATCGCACGGTATCGAGGTACCGAGAAACCGAAGGAGCACAGATTTTCGTTGTAAAATCTCCTGGTTGCGGGATAAACCGATAAAATTAGGAGAGAGAAACGCATCTATTCTCCGGCTTGCGATATTAGGGAGTATTCTAATTCGAAATCCATCAACCGAGGCTGTCGAGCTTTCAAACTGAGTAGTTGCAGCAATTTCGTTCTGTTGAAATTAACCGCGACATGCTTCGACATAATAGCCGGCAAGTTTTCGAGGAATTTGAATTATCCCTGATGCGCGCTGCCAACTTCTCGCACAGCGTAATTAATGACTTGATTTTCATCTTCGATCCGACTTTTCTGTTCCACGACGCGATTTCTTCCGGCGGTTAATATTAACCGGATAAAAAAGGGCGGCAAACGCTAATTGCACCGAAATTAAAATGTAACTGGCTCGTAAGGTTGCTCGTTTTATTTGGTCGCAACTCGGAAGTGATCGCGTTGCAAGAGAAGAGGGCGAGAGTTCGGGAGAGATAAAGAGGGAAAGTTAATTAAAAGTCAACAGGGAAGTTGAGAAAAGTTTTTTCAGGTGTTTTTAAAAGGCGCACCGATGCGCGATGTAAAACGAAGAGGACAGGAGATATTTTCGTCACGGGTTAGAGAGCTGTTTTCGTGGTTAAAGTTCGACGAGATCCGTGACGCGAGACGCGCCGTTCAAATTAACCGGTTAACGAGAAAATCAAGTGTTTTCCGTCGAAATTGTTGGGATTCTTGCGAAAGTTATTAAGGTTAGTTATTAATGAGAAGAGAATTGACGGTGAAAGGTTGTGCCTACAGGATTTCGCGCGAAACCGGTGCTTTTATTTCGATTCAGAGATGCGTGAGCCGTCTCTTGAAGACAAGTAGATATTTACAGTTTGGGGAAAGCGGAAACAAAGAGAAGGGACGGTAGAAGCGGAAACAGCGGCGCTTGCCAAGGCAATAACTGGAGCGAAAGGAAAACGTTTGGTTTACATTCGCGACGCGGGGGTGTTGTAAAAGATGTGTTCCTTTTTTTTTTCTCTATCGGTGCCGTTCCACCACTCACAGTTCGCTCCCAAAGTTTCGAGAAGAAGCAACTCCGAACGGCGAACTTGCGCGCTTTTTCCTCGGGGGGGTTGGCTGAACTTTAGCAGGGTGTGATATAGCTGGCGGCACGATCGCGAAACGCGTTCCGAGCCTTTCCTTCCCTTATTCGGGCCCGAGAATGGTCGACGGTAGCTGCTGGATTTGGCGAACGAGCGCGTTTACTCTCGTTAAGGCGAGTGCCGTCGGCTGATTTACCCTCTTTACTCTGCTGCGACACCGAGCGAATCTCCCCCGAGAGGAAGGCCGAAAGACTGAGGGCAGGAACGAAGTAAAACGAGAATCGTTCGCCTTACAAGATCCTCTTATCCTTGGCGAAGGCACGCGAAGAGATTGAAAAGTTTTCCTCGTCAGAGAACGAGCCCTCTTTCCTCGCTCGTTACAATGAAAATTCGTCGACCCGATCGAATTGATTATCCTCCCTCGCCTCGCCTCGCCGATATTCCATTCTAGTCGATGGAAAATTAGACTGCATATAGATTTAACCGTATCGAGGATCGATACAAGCGTACGCTTTTAAAAAAAAAAAAAAAATCTCTCTTCGTCGTTGAACAAGATTTATTTCGGCAACTTGACGTTCACGCGAAAACGCGAATGCGCCAACCGATCATTAAATACAAGGATCGTTGGAGTATGACGATAAAGAGCGGGAACACAATGGAGAGGCTAGGCTTCTATGTAAAGAATGATTTAACGAATGGCATTGTTATCATATCGAGGTGAAAAATTATGGAAGCTCTCAAAGCGGACAGGAGCTGGGAGGCCGTGAGACAGAAACGAAGGCGTGAGAAAAAGCGACCACCCGCGGCGACTAAATCAATAGCTCCTTCGCGAGTAACGAAGAAAAAGATGTCTAAATAAGTACCTGTGGTTTCTTTTGTCTTGTTGCTTGTTCCTTCAGCACCGACTCGACGAGACGCCCCTTTAACGAACCAACCCCCCACAACCCCCGAGATTCTTGAATTAATACCCCTTGCTTCGCCTTAATCATTCGGTCGATCAGCTTTACGGATACTTTAAGCACCGATCGAACATTTTACTCGCGGTACATTGGAAGGACTATAGAAAAGGTAGCGCTAACAAAAGTTTTATTGATATGTCGTTTTAAAGGTTCCGCCCCCGGAATTGCTATACGACGAAAGATTTCTCCCTTTGATAGCATGACGAATTTTAAACCGGCAATAAAAGGGCGATTACTTTGTAACTCGTATCGCTTCGCTTCTATAGAATACTGTGACGTCGAAAAAGGGACGAAACGTTGCTTATACCATTCGCGTTTCTACGGATTCAGGTTTCTACGATTTATTATCTATAGTTTTACGAACAACACGAAAATTACTCGGAATCGTCTGGTTTTCTTCCGTTCTAGGAAACTGTTTATAGCTTCGGCAAGGTGAATCAAACGTTCCTCGCACAGGCTACTCGATTGTTTTCAAATTCCGCTTTTCCACTCGGTTTCAATTATTTTTCCCGGATCTAATTCGTTGCGAAACAACTTGAAATTCATAGTTTATACTTAAACTCGCGTTTCACTCCCCTCTTGTCTCAACGAAGGAACACTCGTGTTTCGTTATAAACGAGCAACGTCCGTGGTGAATATTTGAAAATGCGGTTCGCAAAGAAAGTAAGAATAATTTGTAACGTGGATTGGACACGCGCGGCACAAAGGTGTTTCGAATGAAAAAGCGCGATATGTTGTCGGGGAACGTCGTCATCATTTGTACCTGTTGAAGGAATCGTGTACACGTTGAACGTGTTACCACTGCCGGCCATTTCTATCGACTACGACTTCGATTTTATGTTTCTCCTACCCCGGCGCCGTTTGCTCCGAGACGAAACAGTGGTAACGACGTCGCCTTCTTACACGGTAATATTACGAGGCGATCGGAAAGAAATTTTTGACGCTTATGCCGTTCATTGTCGCACGTAAAGCAAGCAGTAAAACGAGGGAAAAAAAAAGAAAGGGAGAAGATCGGAGAAGCTTGAGGGTGTAAAGAGAGAAAGGTCGAGGCGAAAAGCGGAAAGAGAAGAAAAGAAGGAAAGTAGGAAGGAAGGAAGGAAGGAAAGACAGGGGCGGGTGGAAAGAATAAAAGAGGAATAGAAGGGATGATAAAAGGAAGGGAAGAGACGAGGGGTCTCGCGGGTTTCTCGTCAAAAAAGATGAAGTCACCGTGGTTTTGGGGTGGTACAGAGAAGAGGGGTGGGCGAGTTCTTTAAGGTAGGGGGCATGCGCGGCGTCCGGGGGTGCAGGAGGCCGTCAGGGGGTTAGTCGCTTGCCAACAACACGACGCGTAGCTCGCGCATCGCTCTCGTCTTACTCTACGCGTATCGTCCTATACCATTCGTATTTTCCTTCATTTTTTTTCTTTTCATTTCTTTTTATTTCTTTTAATCTACATATCTGCGGCCGCTTCGAACCGGAAACCGTGGCTCCAGCAAATTATTTCTCCCTCCGGTTTCCGTATACCTCGTTGTCGCGCGCGAAAGAGCCGATTGAAAGTTTGCGCCTAGTGTACACACGACCCAGGAAAGTTTCGATCCGATAATCTCTCCCGTCTCTTGTGCTTTCGCGCATCCTGTTTCGGACCCTTCGTTTGCGCTTCGAAAGTGTATCGCAGAGAGCTTCCACGAAGCTGCACCGCGTTAAGATGAGACCCGCAGCGAAGAGATCGAGGAGTTTCGCGGCAAAAGCTTTCGTCACCCTCTGAACACGCTGGGTGCTTCGTTGACGAACCTCGAGGATCGTTCTATGGTGCGGATCGAAGTGATCGTTCGCCGGAAGTGCGAGTGGACGAAGGTGGTCGTGCGATTTTCTTGCTTCGATCGAGGATCGAGCTCGGTTGTTGCACGGCGACAGTGCTGTGATACCGAGCAGACCGGAAGCAGCCGCATCCAGAGTACTGCAACGTGTTATCGTCATTGCAGGGAACGACGCGAAAAAGTGCGCGTTACCTCGATTCGACTCCCGTAGGACTGCACCAGGTTGCCTCTTCGAGGATCTTGGAGGAGGCGAAAGATCGGGCGACGATCAACAAGGTACGTTACGGCACTGCGAAAGTTTGGCAGATTTTAGCAGCGAAGAACGAGAGTTGAATCGCGTTTTAATTCGGGAAACGTACGATCGATTCGATCGATCGGGGCAAATGACTGGTTGATTATTCTATCTACCGACAGGAATTAATTCGATAATGAGAGACCTTATTCAAATGAGATTTAAATCGAATCGCGATACCAGCAATCTAACGTAATAGTTATATACAGAGCTGCGTGTGCCTACGCAATGCCCTGTTCTTCGTTATATCCTTGTACCAGTAATTAGCGAGCGTAATTCGTGGAAATGTATTACGTAACCCCGCGGGTATATATTGAAATTAATTATGAACTTTTCTGTTTCCGATTGAAATTACAGTTATCGCGCGGTTTATCGATGAATTTTTGAACGATTGTTTTAAATTAGATTTCAATTTCAATTCTCTTTATCAAATAAGCGAAAATTTGGGAAAATTCACGGAACGCGACGGGATTCACTCTGCTTCGCCTTCCGTCGCGTTCCGTTTAAGAATGAGAAATTAGTCGAATGTTGTTCGCGAATTCCTCGTCGCATCGGGTAAAATATAACCGGTAAACTGCGTTGTTCCGTTGAAGAGAAAATTAACGCCGCGCAGAGAGATAATTGTTGTTCATTTCGCACTCATCAACCCGGACGTCGATTATCAGCGACTATCGCGTTCAATGCCGCGTTTCTGCGCGTTTAGTTTGGTTTAATTAAAATCAGAACGTTCAGCGTGGGCTTACATCGGTATAAAAGCATGGGCTTTTCGGTAACGTACAATTTTATTCCGGCAACAGCTCGATAAATACCGTAATCACTCGAATCGTGACGTTGAAATTACAGTGAAACATTAGGAGGGACACTCGCGGTGTAATTTCGTACGAATCGTCGGGACAATTCTTCCTGGCTGCGTGACGCGAACTCTTGTGCTTGTATCGTGGATCGGAAAGAGGAGGAAACAAATGGAGGGTGAAAGCTCGACGCGTTCCTAAAGGGAAGAGTATCGTTTGATGTCAGTGGGAAAACGACGGCCTGCAGGAGTTTGAATATCACCATCATTGGACGGGTCAGTCAATATTTCATTTTCATCGAAGATACGTAATTTTGGCAATTCGTCGATCGATCTCGACGATTTCGAAGAACGTAAACGTAGTCGGTCTGTTTTCTCGCACAATAGCTAAAGAGGAGATTAACCCGGCTGATCGCTCCGCGATAGCTGAAAAACGATCGATCACCGGAGAATTTTCGCTTCTGTTTTTTCCAGCTCTGTTTCCGGCTGATTTTTCCAGCGCGAACTACGCTGATCCGTTCATTTTCGACGAAACTATGCGACGAACGTAAACCGAATCGTCAATAAGGTAAAATCGAATCCATTATTCGTGCGTCGAATTTGCGACTATCCTGTGCGAGTTGAACGCATAGATAGCTGGAGCCTTTAATAACTGCTAATCCCGCATTATTATCGGCAACCGATGATAATCGTTCGGGATGCTGCAACGCGACTACGAGCAAATTGAATTTAATATAATACGTAGATAACTTGGCGAAAGCTGCGCGGTCTGGCTAAAGGGACAAAGGGAACGCGGGAGGAGGATAGAGAGGGCGATGTAAACGATATCTGGTGATCGGTATTGGCGTGATCGTGGAAGAGCACAATGGGCGATAATAGGTAATTAATTACTTTGATTACGATTAGAGGAGGGCGTTGCGTAGATGGCTTCATCCGCCCCGACGCGACGCGACGGTCTGGCTATCCTCTGTAATTGATCACTTTGTTAATTGCTCTTCCATTTATCCGCGGTTTCATTCACTTCTCAACGTAAAGAAAATTAGACATCTAATTTCGAAAAGATTTTAAATCAGCAGGAGGGGCACATTTATTCGAGAAGAAAGAAAACAAAATGTAATAAGTTCGTAAAAATTCAACGCGGTCCTTGGTTGTTTCAGTTCGGAAAAATGGTGGCGGATGTTCGATCAGTTCGACACTGATTTTTACCGCAGATTTTCTCCCTTCGCGCAGGCATTCGGAGGACAGAACGAAATATGCGATATCGTCGGGTGTTTCCCATTTTCCGCGAAAATTCGCTGGACGTACACGGAATTACGGTGTTTCTGATAGGTCACCGTGTTTTATCCGGTATCGTGGATATTCGGTTGGTCGTGTAATTGGACGCAGATGTCGCGGTGGTTTTCTGGAAGCGTAGATACGCGTGTACGTGTACACATGCACGAAGAAATATATACGAGTAAATTGGAATAATCAGCCCCGCTATACGTTTCGTTCTACCCGTTCGTTACTGTTCTTCTTTTTTTTCCCCCCTTTTCATATCACGCGGTAATAGCGTTCGGATACACGGCTGACAGAGAAATCCCGGCTAATGGAAAAGTATGAAAATGCGTCGACTAAACCCTGTAATAATATCCTAAGAGCGGGCAGATCGAGTCAACCTACGAACTAGGTCACGGACAGATAGAAGGCTTGACATCGTATCTGGAGACTACATTTTGATATGCAAATTCGAATCAATTAATCATCAATGATACGTTAGAAAGACAGACGAGATACAACAAATATACTATTTCGCGCTATAGATATGTATGGTGTAGCAATTAACAACGCGCACTACGAAACACGATATTGTTCATTTGTATTTTGATAACGGAAACTTTGGACAGGCAACACCGATGCTAGCTCGGAGAAAAAAATCAAAGAAATTCATAGAAATTGCAAAGATCGATTTAATCCGCGAATAAATCATCGATGTAATTTGTCAAACTATTCGACGCGTATTAATTTCCCGTAAATTATCCCGTTACGCGATACTTTGGCGTTAAAGCATTTATTATAAGCGTATCGTCAACCGTGTCCCGTGCATAATCGCGTCAAAGGTAATTGGTTCAACGTACGACAACATGTTGCATTTAACGGCATAATACGTCGTTTCGTTTGTCAAATAAATTACCAGCTTTCTGTCGTTACCGATAAGTTATTCGAGCGTCGAGCCGGACGTCACGGATTTCCTAGGGAAAGATGCACGCGATTCAATAATAGATCGAACAAACAAAGAGAGAGATATCGAATTGCCGATATCCGAATGATGAAACACAAGCTGCCCGCGGATTAGTTTCCGTCATTGTAATTACATCAGCCGCGGTGGCGAGCTCCTCTGCCCGATGTTTCTTACCGTACGCTCTTTGATAATTAGGAGAAAGTTGCGTCCGGCTAACGAACTAGGGATTTCAGATGAACGGACGGTTCTTAGACGGGACAAAAGGTAATGAAAGCTAACAGAAGCCGTCGTGTAGCGATCCTTAATGGAAGAGAATACAAGGGAGAAACGGAAACGAGCAAGGCACGAGAGGAACGAGATAAAGGAGCCGAATGGATGCGACGAAACAAAGGAGCAAACGACAAGAACGGAAAGAAGTATCAATAAAAGGAACAAAGGCAAGTGCGGTGAGCTGAGACTCGAGAAGAAGTTGTAAGTCTGAAACGAAGGGAAAGGAAAACGTAAAGGGAACATTGAAAGGGTAAAAAATTGTCGACCAACGAACCGGGAGAATTTCGAACGTTGTACGTGGACGGTGTTTAATTCGATGAGTCACGGAATGAATCATGTATCTTTGATAAAGTCGAGCTTTCGACGGATGCAATTGACCCGTACATTTCACGACCGACCCGCCGGCCGAAGAAGCTTAATTATTCAAAGAGAAGAGCAACGACGTTACACGAACCCGTCGCCGCCGTTTCATCCGCGGTTCCGCTTCCCTCTGTTCACCTTCGGCCGGTTATTTCATTTTACGATCGAATCCGTTCCTATAACCCTTATCCTGTGTATTAGTCGTAATCTTGCCCGTTAAATAGAGCTTTACGCGGGATCCGCCGCATTAACACTGCGACCCGTGTCGGTTCAATTCCATCCGCAAACTTCTACTCCCGTGGCTTGTATCGCGAATCGAACTTTACCGCTTCGAACTTTCCGAGTTATTTAAACTGCCAGGGAACGGTATTTTTTCCACCGACTAGATTCACCGAGTTCACGCGTAAATTTTATTTTTCACCAAAGTAATTTCTTGTGCATTTCTTAGTTGATACGATCTGAACGAGGGTAACGCTACGATAAAAGTGAATAGTTGATAATTGCACTTATACGAATGAAAGCGCAATACGATGTTTTTCGTTATCACCGTTCGTGCAGTCACTAATTAAGCTCGCAATTTTAACGCACGGAACTTGACGTTTATTGACCTGATGAAAGCTCGTCCTCGACATCGTTACGATACACAGAAACGAGCCAAACGTGATAGTCTTCTCGTTCGGGGGTGTATTGTTTTATTTCGTTGCCCGGCGAATGTGAAAAATAAGCGGGGAAAAAAGCGAAGAGTAAAAGGGTTCCAGAGCATTAATTGTGCACAAGGATCTCGAGAGCAGTTTAAAAAAATAAACGCGACGCGCAAGTTGTTCACTCTCGGTTCGTGTGAAAAATAAAAGCTTGACGTATGAACCCTTTTGCGCTGTAATTATTTTCCTAGCCTGTCCTCGGCCGGCTGTGATTTTATTTCTCCTGCCGCTGACGTCTTATTTCATGCACGCAACGATTGCTTATATTTATTAAATCCTGTAATTTTGTCGCGCGATAAATTGTTGAAAATTGTTTCGTACCATTGAACGGGCATAGCCATTGTGACAGTGATTTGAAATTGAATTTTTGACGGATCGATTGTGCAATTTTTCTGCGACAATAAAAGGCTACCGCTCTTAACGAGAACCTTTGTTCTCCTTCACGTTCGTCAACAGGTAACAATAGAGTTGTCGAATGGAAGTCACGCAAAATTTATTTGCAAGCTTTGATTAACCCCGGATTGAAATCAAATATTCTTCAATTTTTGAAAAAAAGAAAAAAAAAAAGAAAGAAAATAGTGAAAACCAGAAATGGTTTCCACGACACGATGCATTTCCAGGGCGTAATAAATATAGAAGAAA